CCGCGGAAACCACCACGGTGGAAACGCGAAACCCTAGTAATAGCGCGCCGCGGCACGAGGGATTGACGGACGTCCGGCGGGAAAATCTAGGCGGCGCTCACGAATCAGCGTCGGGAGACCATGGCGGCGGTTCGGAGACTATAAGCGAGCGCGAGCGGCTCTTTCTGCAGCAGCTTCATCGCAGCGCGCTGGAGTCGCGTCAGCGGATCTTAACGAACGCCGCCGACGTGTGGATGTCGCATCAGGAGTCGGAAATGTGGCTCGGACAGCTTGAAGCACTCGCTTCAGCGCAGCAAAAAAACGACAAACCTATCGCTGTAACGAGCGGCGCCGGCAGCGGTCAGCAGCAGCATGCCACGTGGCGGACCGGGGGACTGTACAGATTTGGCAGCGGAACCTTCCGCAAGGCGCACGCCGTGGCGGAGAAGCCTGAGCCACAGGCGCACCAGCCGCGGGGAGAGCGCAGGCTCAAGCGGAGCGGGGAAAGCAGCAAGAGCACGCAGTGCGAGTCTATTCCGCAGCAGCGGCTCCAGCAACCGCAGCCGCAGCAGACGCCGTCGCTGGCGGTGGAAGAACCGAGGGGTTCGACTCCTGCAGCCCCAGCAGCGCGGCGGTTTTCGCGCGCCAAGAGCGTTTCTGGAGGCACTAGCACCAGCGGCAATGACACCGGGGGCGGAAGTGGCGTGATCTTCGGCTTTCCGCTGTCGGGAGGGTTTTCGCGCAGCAGCACCGGTTTCTCTGGGGGCGGCGGCGGTACTATCGTAGTTCCCCGCTCGCCGTTGCGCGCATCTTGGTTATTTGGCTCCACTACCCGTTCCGCGCAGGAACGCGGCACCAGCAGACTCTCCTCAGACGGCTCTACATGAACCTGAGTCTAACCTCTCCGCCATCTTCTTTCCCCCTACATCCCCTGGTTATTCAGTGGTCGGAAAGGGAGGGGGTAAGCTTTATAATGAATTCCTGCACTAATTGATTTGTTGAAAGCCGAGGGTCTTCATCTTGCTCGCTTGTATCTGACTAAGTAGTACATTACTGCCTAACTATGACCCATATTGTTGCCATTTGGCCAACATTCTTCTTCAGCCATTCATGATTTGGCATGTTTTTGAATATGTGCCTGATGGCGATGCAGGCATGTTCACTTGAGCGCACTGTTGATTGATGATGTTTGATCGCGTTTTATTCTGTTTTGTTTATGTTCCTAGATATTCATATTCAATTGGGTACTTGGAGACATACATTTTCGATTCTGCTTTTAGAATCCACAACACACGACCAAGCCCTGGCCCCCCAGCGTGGGGGCGTTCTTCCCCGCCCCGCACCCCCGAAAGTCTCCTTCCGCCCGCTCCGTTCCCTGGCCCTGATCAGTCCCCCTTCCAACTCTTGTGCACCTAACCACCGCTATTTTCTTTCGGTCTATCTTCAACCCCCACGTGTGCAAAGGGGTAGGCACCCTTCAAAACGTTTTTGACCGAGGGTTGTGTCGGACGTCATACGCTCTACGCAGAGTTAGTTCCTGACTCCTGAAAGCTACGCAATGGGATGCGCAACAACAAGCAGACTCCACACGAGCCGAAATTGTCTTACACTCGCCCGATTGAAATCTCCATTTGATGTCATTCATAGTCCCCTATAACGAGGTTTCTAACAGAAAACCCCAAAAGCTGGGCAGGGATTACATGAAAATCGGGAACAGTGCCAAGGTCAGAAGTTGAAAATAGCGGTGGCTAGGTGTACAGTGCAATTTCTCAAATTCACTGTAGATGTCGATGATGAAACTGCCGTTCTGCGAGGAAGACTGTCCCTCCTCTGTTTCTGCTGCGGATCAGGCCTGGTCAGGTCTGTTTCTGTTCGGAAAAAGCGGTCGAGTTTGTTGTACACCTGTCCCGCGCCAATTTCAATTCCCGGCAATTTCAACACCTTTTGTCTCGACATGGGTCCTGGGCCCGGCGCGATTCGGCCTCACAACCTCTCGAAAAAGCTCAGAACCAATTAAAACGCCTGTATCACGGTATTTAGCATTACGAAACCGAGTGAAACCGCGCTGACTATCGGAACTACTTTGTTCCCTCCAATTTCAACAAGCCCAAAAACGACAAACAGTAACTCCCGCAGCGCGGGTGTTGAAATTGCCGAGGGAGAGGTGTACGGGCTGGTTTCGTTTCTTCGCCGTTTTGAACCGCTCTACTCACCAGCCCGAACAGTGTGCCATGAACTGTGAACGAACACAGTTTGACCCGCCTAGAAGCAGCCCTTCCTTTCTTGTGTCAGATGAAACGACCGCGGGCGGTGTGCGCTGTGTGGGTTTTGTGCAGACTCGATTGCTGCAGTACAGTACACTTCCTTTTGTCGGTTACTAATTTGTACACCTCCAACGAACGTCTATTCCTGTCCTGATTGGTGTTGCCTTTTACCCCAGCCAAACAGCAGGTCCATTTGCACTTGCTCTCTCCAATTGGCTCCAGGTCTCTCTTGCACTTGCGTTCTTTGGGGGGGTCTTGAAGCGGGGGACCCTTGAAGCACTCACTCTCTCCCCCTGACCCCGCGAACCACCAGCAATCAGCAACCAGCAGCCAGCAGTCAGCACTCAGCAACCAGAAACCAGCACCCTTCCAAGTTTCTTGCTTCAGGCAAGCAAGTCAGTGGTTTTCCTGGTCTTACGTATGGTTTCCAGACTTCAACCTGGCGTTCTTTCCGGGTTAGGTACCTTTGCTTCCGGGTTACCTGGCGTTCATTGCTATTCGTCTAATTATCCGTTCCATCGCAGCAAACGCCGCTGCAGGGTGATCATGGCGCTCGTCAGCTCAGAAGCCCCCCACAGGAAACTAATCTCCACCAGAGCGGTCTTAACCCGCGGCGCGTCGGGGAGCGGGAACTTCGGCTCCAGGCTCAGCCCCGGCTCCGCCGGCCGCGCCGACAAGCAAGCCTCCGAATCCGGTTGCAGGTGGGAGGAGATTCGATTCGACGTGTCATCTTCACCTGCTACAAATGCGTTTCAAAGCCAGAACGCCGCGGGATTATCGTACCACAGCGCGCCGTTCCCTGAAGCGACAGCGGCGGCGAAGCGGCGCGGCGCGAGCAGCGGCCCGATGCTGCCCGTGGGGCTTCCTAGGTTCAGCATGGATGCCGGCGGAGCGAGGAGCTCCGACGTAACGAGTCGCGGTCTAGAACCATTTCCGGCGGATAATAACGCCGGTATTACGAGTAGTACTAGTGACGACTCATCGGATGGATATCGCGGCGGCGGCGACGGCGAGTCGGAAACCGGCGCGATAAGCGAGCGCGAGCGGCTCTTTTTGCAGCAGCTTCGTCGAAGCTCCATCGCGACGCGGGAGAGGATCTTAACCAACGTTGCTGACGTGTGGATCTCGCACCAGGAATCCGAGTCGTGGTTAGGGCAACTCGAGAAAACTCGCCGCAGCGCAGCAAAGCGGCGGCAGCAAACATGTCAACGTCACGACTCGCTACGGACAAAAACAGCATGCCACGTGGCGAGCCGGCGGCCCGCCGGGAAACCCTCCCAAGGCTCAGGGGACGGCAGAACGCGGATCCGGGGAGAGTCAACCTGCGCACGAGCCACGCGGAGTGCGCAAGCTTAAGCGGAGCGGCGAGAGCGCCAAATCCGCGCAGTTTGAGTATTCGACGCAGCAGCAGCCGTTGTCTCCGCCGACAGAGGAGCAAACAGGCGGAATCCGCGCGCAAATATTCGAGCGCACTAGCACTGCCCCTAGCGGCACCACCAGCACAACCAGCATTAACAACCGTATCGGCATCGGCAGCGGCAGCGTCAGCGTCAGCGGCAGCGGCGGCGGAAGCGACGGACGTGCTAGCCTAGTTCCCAGCGCGCTGTCGCGCAAGTCGTGGCTTTTTGGCTTCACGAGCCGATCCTCGCAGGAGCGCAGCACAAGCAGGCTCGGCGCTTCTCCGCACGGTGGCGGATCTTCGTGACTCTACTGCGCAGAGCCGCACTGAGCCGCGCTGTGAGCGCAGCACAAGCGGGCTCGCGTGAGCCGAACCTCGCACGAGCGCAGCACAAGCAGGCTCGGCGCTTCTCCGCACGGTGGCGGATCTTGGTGACTCGCGTGCGCTGAGCCGCTCTGCGAGCGCAGTACAAGCAGGCTGGGCTCTTCTCCGCACGGTGGCGGATCTCGGTGACTCGACTGCGCTGAGCCGCGCTGCGAGCGCAGCACAAGCACGCTCGTCGTTTCTCCGCACGGCGGCGGATTTTCTTGATTTGCCTGCGCTGAGCCGCGCTGCGAGCACAGAACAAGCAGGCTCGGCGCTTCTCTCCACGGCGATCCGTTGACGGATCTTCGTGACTCGCTGGCGCAGGGGACCTTGCTATCACGATTTACGACATCTGCCCATCTGTACCTATGAACTGACGGTCAGGATGAACTCTCAAGATCTCAAAAAGTAAGGTATTTGGGGTCACTATCTCAGAAAGCAAGCGCGAGAGAGAATATGCGGAATAATGTTTTGTTATGTTTTTTTATACCATTATTTATTTTTTCCAAGTTGGCCGTATGTTCGCTGCTTTTTGACATCAATTTACAGGTCAACAACAAAGCAGCTTACACAGCTGAGAATGCTGCATAGCATGACAAACCCATCATACACCACCCCCATCATACCCAACAAGACGCGCAAGTGACTCTAAACTGGTGTCCATGGGCGGCGATTCAGCATACAGTATTAAACAGCTAGCTTCCTGTCTCCCCCCCACCAACCCTAACCATCCTTCAATTCCTGGAAACTACAACGAGCCATAGAAGCACCTGGGATGGGTCACCTTCATTACTGCCCGACCCATTTGTTGATCTAAACCGGATTGAGGCGGGGTAAACCGTCCAGCCGTACCGTAAGTTATCTTCGTACCCCCCTTTGATCCCCGGTAAGTCCCTAGGTGGTGGCAGCAACAGCGGAGCTTGCGTCACATCAGAGCTGTCTTCAGCAGCGGTGACAGCATGTTACCGTAAATGGCAACTGCAGCTAGCCCCTTACTCCCCTTTGATCTCCGGCAAGTCAATAGGCGACGGCAGCGGCGCTTGCGCCACGTCAGAAAAAACCCGCGCAGTATTCAGCGGCGACAGCATGTTGAACAGCGACTGCAGCTGACCTGGCGAGTCGCGTCCCATCGGCCACCTGGCGCCCCCGGGGCCAATCAGAATCCGCGGAGAATCCCGAGGGAGAGAGGACATCCACATGGGCGTGGGGAGGGGGCCTTGCATGAGAGCCGAGGGGAGCGGGCCGGTATACCCGGGAAAAGGATTACTGGAGTTCCCAGAGGTGCCTGCAGAGGAGCCAATCCCAGAGGCATCATTGGCTGAAGAAGAACCAAGGCCGGAGGCCCATGCACTGGGATTGGACTGGGCATCCCGCGGCTTGATGTCGATACTTGGTTGACTCTCCAACTCCTCCCCTCCGGTCCCGCTCCCGCCACCCGCATTCCCACTCCCATTCCCAGCCCCATTAACGTTTCCATCTCCGTTTCCACTCCTGTCCGGATTCCCAGTACCCTCTGCCTTTGCGCGCTCCGCCTCAGCCCCCTCCTCCCGCTTCAAGTCTGCTTCTGCATTATTACCTCCTCCTCCGGACTTTTCCGCCCCGTTCCGCAGGTTTGCTGCTTGTGAACCATCTGCCTCCTCCCTTTTATCAGCCTGATGAGCCTCACAATCAGCCCGTTCGGTTGCTGATACGGCACCACAATCACCACCACCTCTCTCACCCTCCGTCTGCTTCAGCTGCTGCTGCTGCTGCTTGCTTGTGGTCAGCCCATCAGAAGACACGGCAAGCCCTAGGCACGCTTCTTGCTGCTCACTCCTCTCCGCTGCCTGTGACTGCTGCGTCTGCAGTGAGGCTTGGGCACTGGATAGTGGGGCACAGACAGCTGCAGCAGCAGCAGAGGCAGAGGCTGCTGCTGCAGCAGCAGATGCAGAAGCGGAGGCGGCCCCACTAGTTACAGCAGCGGCAGTAGCACTACCACTACCACCACGCACCACTTGCTTTCCCGCCTCCTCAACTGACCCTCTCGTTACTCCACTCCCACTGCTTTCACCGCACCCCACTCCCTTCAACCCCTCTCCCTGCCCAAAACCGGACAGAAAATCGCGGCCTTCGGGAGTGCCCTGCTGTTTCACCCCTGCATCCTCCCCACCAGACGTCTCCCCTCCGTTCGCCCCGCCCGCCCTGTCATTCCCGCCCTTGTCGCTCACAGGAGACGCAAACCCCTCTGAAAACTCCTCTCCCATGTCTGTGGGCTCGTGACTGTGACTCTGACTGTGCCCGTGGCTGTGGCTGTGGCTGTGGTTCGCACCTGCTCCTCCTCCACCCTCTCCTTCTCCACCTCCTCCTCCTCCCCCCAGCCGCACTTGGAGAATGTCAAAAGGCGGTTGCTTCACTGCCTGTGCTGCATTGGCAATTGCTCCTGTGGCAACAGCACCGGCAGCAGCAGGAGCTGCAGAGGCAATCGCAGGAGCAGTGGGCACAGCAGCAGCACTCGCAGTAGCAGCAGCAGAAGCAGTTTGGGGAGCAGGAAGGGCCAGGGAAGGCGGTGCAGCAGGGGCGAGGAGAGACAGCGGCGAGGGAGCAGCAGCAGCACCACCACCACCAGCAGCAGCAGCAGCACCACCACCACCACCAGCACCACCAGCAGCAGCAGCAGCACCACCACCACCACCAGCACCACCAGCAGCAGCAGCAGCACCACCACCACCACCAGCACCACCAGCAGCAGCAGCAGCAGCAGGGGCAGGGAGAGCAGAAGCAGCAGCAGCAGCAGCTGCCCCATCCACGGGTCCGTCATGGATGATGGTGATGGTGACGGGGCGGGGGGGCGGCTTGGAGTGGTTGTGCTCGCCGACGTACTTGATGCGCCAGTTGAAGGGGTTGTCGTTGCACCGCTCCGCCCACTTCTTTGCTGGGCAAGGATGAGAACCAGTAGTCTTGTGAGCGCAACGGAAATAGCTCCTGCAAGGGGTGGGGGGAGGCAGGGAAACGGGTGTTTGGGGGTGGTTGTGCTCGCCGACATACTTGATGCGCCAGTTGAAGGGGTTGTCGTTGCACCGCTCCGCCCACTTCTTTGCCGGACAGGGGTGGGCGCCTGTTGTTTTATGTGCACAGCGGAAGTAGCTCCTGGGGGGGAGAAGAGGATTGGGGAAAAGCAGGGAGGATAGCGAGCGGGGACGGGCGGAAAGGGCGAAGCGGGAAAAGGGGAAAGGGGAGTAGGGAGAAAGAGGGGGTGAGAGAGAGCGGGTGATTATGCTCGCCTGATTCGCCAGTTGAAGAGGTTGTCGTTGCACCGTAGGAGAAGAGCGATTGTGGGAGAGGGATACTGCATTGGAGGGTGCATGACAGCACAGCACAGCGTGAGCATGGCATGAAAGGGCAAATGGGGCGTGCAGCACGGCAAGTGGGAGATAGCAGCAGCGCAACACACCTGGGGTAGGTCTGGCCGAGAGTGACCTTCTGGCCATACTTGCGCCACTCCCAGCCGTCCATCGGCATCTCGGGTGCTGATGGCTTTGATGATGGCATGCGCGGCCTGTTAGAGGGCGGGGCGGGGCGGGGCCGGGGGAAGGGGGGGGGCGGGGGGTGGGAGGAGGAAGGGGAGTACGAGGCGTGGTGGGGAAGGGCGTGATGAGCTGAGTCACTCCCACCCGTCCATTGGCATCTCCGGCGCTGATGGCTTCGATGATGGCATACGCGGCCTGGCAACAAGGGGGCGGTGCGGGGGGGATGAGAGGCAGGGAAGGGAGGGACGGCAGGGGAGGGAAGGAAGTGCAGGGGGGAAGGGAGGAAGGGAAGTTAAGAAGGATCAATGGTCTTCACTCGCGATTAACACACATCATTTCTGCACCACACACCTCTCGTGTACCATGCACGCACCTTTTATGCAACACTGCCCCATCGTCGCCATCTTCCTCTGTTCCACCACCCCCACCAGTACCGGCGCCGGCAGCAGCAGCCGCAGCAGCAGCCGCAGCACTCCGCTTTGTTCCGCCCCCACTCCCACCCCCTGCGCCTGCGCCTGCGCCTGCTTTTGCACCCTCACCATCTCCCCCTTCACCCGCGCCCTTGCCCCCTTCCTTCCCCGGATCCTTCCCCGCGCCCACTCCCCCTCCTCCGCCGCTCCACCCCTGGAACCCCCGCCCTTCCGCGTGCGGGTGGTTCCCCGCGCCCCCTTTCCGCTGCACTGGGTGCTGCCCCTGGTGCTGCGGCGGCGCATGCGCTTTCTGCGCGCCCTCGGATGGCGGAAGCGACTTTTGCGCCCCCCCTTCACCCCCCAGATGCGATTTCTGCGGCGCTTCAAAGCCCTGATGCTGCCCCGCGCCCCCTCCAGCCGTTCCGCCCCCGCCCGCGGGCATCCATGCGTTCGCTCCGCCACGCACTCCCTCCTTGCCTTCCGCGGACGGCACAGGCGCAGGGGGCGCGGGGGACCCCATTCCCCCTGTGCTGCCCCTCCCGCCCAGGCTTCCCCCCATCGGGGGAGGATGATGCATGGTGTTATTTCCCCCCGGGCGCGGCCAAAACGCCAAACCGTGCGGAGACATCCACATCGGCGGAAGCACAGGGGGACCTGGAACCCCCGCGCTTCCCGCTCCTGCCGCCGCCGAACCTGGCGCTCCAGGCGCCGCCGAACCTCCTCCGCCGGAGCTGCTCATCCCGTCCGCGTCCGAAGGCCCAGGGGCGGATCCGAGCGGCGGAAGCGGCGGGTGCGCGGAGCCCGGGGGGCGGAAGACGCCATGCGGGGGAAGGACTCCGGGCGGAGGCATGGGGAACATCCCGGGCGGAAACGGCATCATTCCGTGGTGGCTCATTCCGTGGTGATTCATGCCGTGGTGGTTACTCATCCCAGGGTGATTACTCATCCCGTGGTGGTTGTTCATCCCATTCAGCTGCTGCAGCACTGATGCGACCACGTCGAGGACCCACGCTGCGATCCGAGCCGAGATTCATGTCGCCAAGCATTCGCAAATGCATCCCCAGCTCCTCGGGAGTTGGTCGCCCAGACGCTCCCGCTGCCGCTGCTGCGCGAAAAGCGGCGGACGCGGCGGCTGCAGCAGCAGCGGCGCCGGGATTGGCTGGAGCGGATGCGTCGGTTCCGTTGCCCGCTGCAGCGGGAGAAGCGTTGGCGGCGGCAGCGGAAGGGGCGGCGGAACGCGCGGGAGAGGAGGGATGAGTGGCGGGCTGACCGTTGGGGTGGTCGGCGGGAAACGATGCCGCGTTGTCGCCATTGCTATCCCCGTTCTGCTGCTGCTGATGGCTCTGCTTGTGGTTCTGATTCGGATTATTGTGATGCTGCTGCTCGTGCTGATGCGGATGCGGTTGTTGCGAGTACGAGTTGTCCTGTTGGTCCACGTGTTGCTCCTCAGCGGAGCGCGAGTTTGGGGGCGATGCCACGTCAGCGGGGGGAGATTCCGCGTCAGGGTTGGGGGGTCCGAGTAGAGCCTGGCAGCTTTGTAGGGCGTCCATCGCTGATTGGACCAGATCTTGAGCTTCTGCCACGTCACTGCAAAAGAGCAGGAATAACGGGAGGAGAGAGATTGATGAACCTTGAAAAAAACGAAACAAACACGAAATATAAGGAGGTAAACGATAAAGAAGGAAGACGAGGTAAAAGGCGGCTTGAGTCTTCGGATGCCCGTCAAAGGCGGCAGGAAGAGACAAAACAGAACCATAGCCAATGAGCGAAGACTGTAAGCAGACCAGTTGAACCTCGAGCATCCTCGTCAAAGAAGACGACGACGATGACGAAAGACGGAAGACGAAAGACGACGACGGCGATAGAACAACAGCTCTACTTGAAGTACCGCGATGTTTGAGAAAGACATCAAGTCACCGTCGAGACTGTGAAAAATCAATCTTACTCAAGACAAACCCGAAACATGCTTCTCTGCTCACTGGCTAATGCTTCACCCAGAAAACGCTGCTTAACTTAGCTCTGACAAACTTCACAACGAGAAGGCTGGCTAATCACCAGTTAAGGCTCTCATCGAAGTCCGGGTCCGCTTGTCCCGGAAATTGCTGACCTTAAACTTATTCTGACAGAAACATAGCAGTAAAAAGGCTGGCTACTCACCCGCTAAGGCTCTCATCAAAGTCCGGGTCCGCTTGTCCCGCGGATTGCTTGGCCATCTCAACACGTAGATACATCGTATTAGCGTGCTTCATCAGCACCTTGGTCTGCGAGTTTGCCAGCGTCGTCGCGTCTAAAAGCTTCTTACACAGCGTACTAAGCGACTCTAATTGGGTCTCCATGGTCGGAGCGTGGATCGACTCGCCGGACATTAATCTACAGTGTACGCGGCTCGGCTGATTTCCGAAATAACTCTACCGGGTAGTTTTGTGAATAAGCTATCTTGCGTTTTCGAGTTGTGCGATTCCCAGGTCTTCGCACGATTCCTGCAATATCCAGCTCCCAAAACCTTTTCCAATTCTTGCAGACAGTAATAGCTAAATTAGCTAAACGTTGCCTAAAGGGAAGGAAAAGCTGGGGGAAAAGGGTACGGGAAGAGAGAAGACGAGGAGCAGGTGTGGGGAGAAAGGGAGAAACGCCAGCGAACGCGAGAGAACAGGCCTAAGCTGAGAAACACGACAAAAAAAGGGGAAAAAAAGAGGAGATTTGGCAATCAAGTTCCTAAAATACTAGCCGTCTACGCGGGCCGCCAGGATTCTCACAACTGGAAGCGCGCATCCAGGGTTACAGAAACCACAGCACACAACCCACAGGGAACCACAGCACACGTTCACTCATCAGTCATCCAAACGCGAGAATTGGGAAAGAAAGCAGAAACAATGGCAGAGGAGGAGAGAGTCAAGACGTTCTTCTAGTGTCTTGGGATCTGCGGGCGGTCAAAGACGTTCGTGAGGGTTTGGTGAGTTCCCTCCGCTCCCGAACCGCAGGGTCCAGGTCCGGTGACAGGTGGTGAGGTGAGTCGCCCCCTCCCGCGTCAAGTTCCTTGCTTGTTGATCACCCGCCAAGAAACCACTGACCAGTCCGAACCGAGGCTCCCCGTGCCTCCGATTTCATCTCGCCTCCCTCAACCAAGCCTGGTCTTCCCCAACCAAACAAAACTCAAACCTACCCTGATCCACCCAGACCGGATTCCACGTCAGGTGCTCATCTCCAAGCCAGGCTGCAGTTCCCAGCTGCAGTATTCCGAACCAGACTGTGAGGTTTTTTTGTTGTGGAGGGAAGGTGTGATGTGTGGTGTGGGTAGGTTTCATAAGGGACCGTAGCCCACATCAAGGGATCACGTGGACCAGTATCACCTCTCCTCACAGTCAAAGGATTCGATGGGCGGCTGATACTGCTTTTCATCCGTCGATGTGATCGCTGTAACGGCTGAGATTATTTCCGCCCTTCAACCATAAGAAACAGTAGACTGTTCTGACGTGTGGCATTGATAGTGGCTTGTACGGCTCGGATTAGCTGACAAAGATGCGTTGATCGGTGGAGATGTGTTTGCTGGCCAAGAGAGTTCGATTGGCCAAGGGGCTGTGCAACTGAGCCCAAAGTCCTGGGGCCCCAAGGCCAACAGAATCGCAGGGCATTAGGACGCGTCACCTCCCTCGATCGATCGTGCAAAATCGAGGAATATCGGGCGTCCACCGCACTAAAATCCCGAGTCTTGTCAAAAAACATCGCATATTTTGTCTCTTCTCTTCTCGAAAGGACGTTCCCTCCCTTCCTCAGCAAAACCTCCCACACCAGACTTCGATTTCTGCTTCGGCAACCGTACCAAGTTCCAGTCAGCTATGCTGCTTTTCTGGACCGCGTTGTGTATGTGGACCTTTTTTCAAGAAAAGGGTGGATACCTTACCTCAATAGGGGGAAATGGGAGCGTGAAAGACGTCAGCATTTGGTGGGAAGCGAAGCTTCCGGCGGTCAAGTCCTTCAACGCCACGGTGTTTGAGCTGCCCAGGAGTGACAGCGTGGCCAGAAAACGTGGCCAAACCAATTCTTGATTGCCAGCACAGCGTGATCATGTAGCTACCGTTGCAAGTCGTCGCCAGCCATGCTGCGCTGTGCTTGGGGTCATGCAGTTATCCGCGTCACCCACCCACCCCGAAATGATCTTCCTCGTTATGAGAACCGTATGAAATTTCTCTGGATAAACCAGAGTGTTTGTTTCATTTCCATCTAGAACTACTAAACCATTCGTAACGGCTGGAACATCTTTTCGAAACACGCGCTTCCGCGAACTGGGTTTCGGTGATATCGTCCCACCACCATGCGAATTCGTGGGTCCCCTCTGTCGCCAATGCCCTGCCCCGCGTGCGGAAATTCGGGCCCCTGCACGGTTTTGCACAGTCAGCATGCTTTTCACCAGAGCCGAATCGCGCACCAAAAAGCCGAATTCGAATTCGCTCCATCCAACAAGCACCCCCCCAAAGTTCTCAAACGAAATCTATGCCAGTTCTCGGAACGACCGAAACAATATTCTGCACGGAAGCAGGATTCAGCTCAATTACCACAGAAATTCCCGATGCTCAGGCTCATAGAATGCTCTACTGCTTGAAAGTTGCCCCTACTAGTCCATTCACTCAGCATCCGAAATCAGCTGCATGTCCGCTGCTCCCCACACACAGAAGCAGCCCGCCATCATGGCGCTCCCGTCTCAAACCAAACGAGTACGACACCGATACGGCCCCAACATCCGAAAGAAGCTCGACGTTTTAGGAAACCCAACGTCCACGACCGATTTTCCCGCTGAACCTTCCATCCTCTCCACTATCGCCTCCTGGATTTCTCACCGCCTGCGTCCGTCCTCTCGCGGCGCTGATACTAATCATCGTGCCACGAATTCCAAGCCCGCGACGCGCTTTTCCAGACGGAGGGGCAGAACGAGCGCGCAGCACGGGGACGGAAGCAGCGACGCGGTGTCTCTGCACTCCGTTGGCGACAGCGCGATGCACGGCGACGAAGGCGACGCCTACGACGGGGATGAGCGAAGCGAGTGCTCTTCGTGGACGATGCCACAGCATCCTGTCGCGTCGACGCCAGGAGCTGAGCGTCGCCGGTCGAGCCGGCGAATGAGGAAGACGACGACGAGAGCGACAACGAGTCGCCAGGATTCGCGGACGGCATCTGTGGGATATCCTGTTAAGAGTAGTAAGCTCTTCGCGTACCCTGCGGCTTCTGCCCGGGTGTATGACGAGTCGCTTCTGTCGGATGACGAATCGTTCGCGATTGGTGACCGTGATGGTAACCAGCAGCCCGGCTCCCCAACGAGCACTGCTTCGTCTGACAGTGTTTTCTTTGCTGGGAATTAAGGGAACATGCGGCGTGGTGTCCGTTCACGAGCGTTTCAAATCGACAATGTACAGCTGCTGAGTCGCCAAGAAAGACAACCTTGTCTGATAGTGACTGAACAATAGAGCATCACCTCGTGAAGACAAGCCTTCCGAATATTTCCCGTGTTCATTTCAGCAATTTTTGTGTTTACACCAGGACTTGTGAGAAAGGACGTTTGCAGCTGGTGTGCTATGCATTGGTTCCATTCAAAAAAAATTATGCATTCATTTCCGCTTGTCATTTGGTCTATCACTCGGCCCAAGAGCATTGGGTGACGCATTAGAACGCTTTTCTCATCCGTCTGTTATTATGAAAATATTGGATATACATAACCACAATGTAAATAGAAACCAGGTGTTGCAGATATGGTGAAGCTTGCTAATATTGGAAAATACGCTTGCTAATGTTGCTCAATCTCATCTTTGGGTTTTAAGTTTTAAGTTTTATTGATAGCTCGTAACCCATACAAGCAGTGCAGGAGCAGGAATGGGAAAAACCCAAAGCCTAAAAGGCTTGCGCCTGACGGCGCTGTCATGCCTTGCCTAGCAAGCAAATGAGACCCTAAGGGTACATTCCTGTGTAGACACATGTGTCTCAAACTGATTGTGACATCCGAAAACTACATATAACGTACAATGTCACAAACGCGGACCGCCCTGTTGCGATTTCCGCTGTATTTATCATTGGGCCCCGTGAATTGCGGTACAATCGCCGACGAGTTGGACGAGGCCCCGTCACAACTCAGCAGTCGCACGCGTGTCGAAATGTCAAGCCATCTCACGGCTCGGCCCCATGTACCTGGACGCCCGAATGTGTGACAGTTTTGAGCGGGAAAAACTTCCGCGCTGCCCGTGTATCTGATCGAAGGGTTTCCTACACAGCAGGCAAACTATTCCTGCCCGCAATCGAAACCCCACCTGCTAGACCATTCCACGAGCTCACCCACCTCATCCTCCTTCACATTCCTTCTCCAGATCTGGACACCTCCGTTCTCTCCCGTATCTCTGCTATCCCTTCTTAAGGGAGCCATGGCTAGGAAGCGCAAGTCTGGAGCTGACGCTGCAACCGACGTCCCGCGGGATCTCAACGAGATCCCGTACATCGCGCGGATCAACAAGCAAATTGCATCCGGTCGCAAGCCTGCAGGCCCGCTGCCTGAAGGTGTACCGTCTCCCGGAGCCACCTCGTACGAAGCGCCGCGTGACGTCCCCACGCGCGGCCGTCGTGACGCCGACAGGGTTGCGTCCTCACGCGTCGTCGACGATACCCCGCTGGACGATGAAGAGGATGACGACAGCGACTACCACGACTTCGCCGTCGCCACCGATGACGAGGCGGACTCAGGCGAGGAGCCGGACAAGGGTATGTCCGATTCGGAGGACGAGTCCGAGGACGAGGCTGAGGCGCCAGAGGAGACGCAGCCCTCCGCTCCCGCTACGCGTGCCAGTCGTGCCAAGTCCGCTGCCCCTGCTACCGCCGCGTCTAAGGGCGACGAGCCTCCACGCCGCGGCCCAAAGACCCGCACTCAGGTGCCTGTGAAACGCAGCGTTTGGTCTCCGCTCGAGAACACGATCTTCGTCGCGGCCCGATGGTTCATGAAGGACGAACTGGAGCCACTGCTCGGGAAGCAGGGCTCGCAGTACTGGGCGCGCCTTGTGCACCATCTCGAGAAGGATAACCCGGGGTGGGTTCGCGGCGTCCACGCCGTGCAGAAACAGTGGCGCAACCTCGTGCAGTTCTACAAGCAGTTGAAGAAGGCGGAGAAGGCGTCGGGCAAGGGGACCGTGTGCAAGCCCCCGTGGTACCCGTACATGGAGTTGTTCCTCAACAACCGGGCAGTTGCTAACCCGCATGCCGTGGCTGCAGGAGGCGCGACGAACGTTAACGCGCCGTGTGGCTTCAACGTGCCCTCTACATCGGCGCCTACGACGACTACTCCGACGTTCACTGGTATACTTGACTTTCCTTTCCCTGAAGGCTCACATGGCTGCACATGTATTTTTAGGGTCTACAGTTTTGTGTGAGACGTCCAGGTACACTTTGTGCGGGACGAAATATTACATCGTTCGTACGTTACCAAACACCGCACACACGCAGGCACACCACCCACCCAGTATTATTCGTGCGTGTTCAGCCACACCCCCGCAGTGCACCCCTCCGTCGAAGCGCCCGCGCGTGATGGAGACGGCAACTATGGCGGCCGCCAAGCTCGTCTGTGAGACGATCAAGGACTGCCACCAGGACGCCATGAGCAAGCTCGAAGGGCTTGTCCGCGCCTGGATGGAGCAGGATGAGCGTATAGCACGTGAACATCTCCAGCAGACGGCGCCTGCTCCGCCTGCTCCGCCTGCCCACGGAGAGGGTTTTCGTTATGCCGAAGAAGTGGGAGAGGTCCACGTACGCCATGCCACTAGCCAGGTACTTGATCGCGACCAAGTTGGCAATCTCGTGCGTGATGAAATGTCGTTCAACGTATGGTACCATGTAGTATGCCATGCCTGCCACGACGTATGCTAGAATCTCCCGGTTGATCCTGAAGAGATCTCTGAACTCCCTGTCCCCCATCCCCTGCAGGTCTTCCCCCAGCAGATTGTATCGCTGCCGCCGCAGGCGTGCCCTCCTTGCACGCTCGGCAGTCCTGTTGGACCCCTGTGAGCTCTCGGCCGTTGATTCGTCGCTGCCGAGGACCTCGCTTTCAAGCATGCTGCCGACAGCACGACCTACTGCGTCCATGAAGATGGAGTAGTAGAATGTGATCCAAGCCACCAAGAGCCGCAGGAGAAATGGCATAGCACGAGGCTCTGCCATGGTTGCACCCTTGGGCTAGAGAATAAGGGTGCAGTGGAAATGGGATGAAGGAAGATGTTGCTCATGATGCTACGTAGTGATTTGTACTTGCTGCGTGCTGCATCGTTCTGCATTCGAGTAGGTTCTTCGTGTTTTGGCTGTTTGGAATTTGTTTAGGTCTTCCCCAGCAGATTGTATCGCTGCCGCCGCAGGCGTGCCCTCCTTGCACGCTCGGCAGTCCTGTTGGACCCCTGTGAGCTCTCGGCCGTTGATTCGTCGCTGCCGAGGACCTCGCTTTCAAGCATGCTGCCGACAGCACGACCTACTGCGTCCATGAAGATGGAGTAGTAGAATGTGATCCAAGCCACCAAGAGCCGCAGGAGAAATGGCATAGCACGAGGCTCTGCCATGGTTGCACCCTTGGGCTAGAGAATAAGGGTGCAGTGGAAATGGGATGAAGGAAGATGTTGCTCATGATGCTACGTAGTGATTTGTACTTGCTGCGTGCTGCATCGTTCTGCATTCGAGTAGGTTCTTCGTGTTTTGGCTGTTTGGAATTTGTTTAGGGGCATCATGGGTCCAAAACATCCGAACCGTATCAATATGTTGTGGGCCAGTCAAATTCGGCCATCTGTAACCTGATCTCTTTCGCACAGAGTCGCGATACATCAGCTGTTTGTGACGCGTGAAATTGTAAATTTGCAGGCGCGACTCGGGAAAATGTGCATTGAGACACATGTGTCTACACAGGAATGTACCCTAAGGCTACACTTGTCCTACACTGGGTTCAAGGAGATGCGGAAGCCTATTAAGGGGGATGGAAATTTTCCCTTTGTAGCCACGTTTTGCGGAGATCCGGGTGTATTGAGGGAATTACCGCAGAGTCAAAGTGTAGCAGTCTTTTCCTTGTACCGAAACTGACTCGAGAGGCAGTTTTCTTCTGCTTCTTGACTGAAGCTTTCGAACGCCTGATGAAGAAGATTTTGCAGGCCAGCAGAAAGACGGACAGCACAGTATGAAGAGATGCCGTTGCTGAGGATTGGACTTGATTATGGATAGCGTTGCAGCGTTCATTCCAGAGCACCTTCGCCGCAGCGCCGACTAGTAGGCTCCATGGCGCCACTTGTCCGGCCGGTGTTGAGAGCGGGAATAAGGTGAGTTCGGTCTGAATTGAGAGACCCAGGTGATCCCGTGCTGGTCGTTGGAGGGCGGCAGAAATGATTGGGGCGTTTCCGCAGTCAGTGAAAATGTGGGTAAGAGTTTCTGGTGTCTCGTCAGCGCAGCGGGGGCAGTTGCGTCCGAAGGAGGTGTAGGGGAGTCGAGTTCCACACGGAAGGGAGCGAGTGTATAGTCTGTAGAGCACGTCGCGTTGTCGGCTTGGTTGTTCCACGAGAAAGGGCTGCGTGAGATTGGGAAGGGTGTCAAGCGGTGTGGGAAGGATCTCATTCCATTGCTCGACGTGTGGTAGAGGTTGTCTCTTGTAGAGAAGCTGACGGATGTCGGAGAATTTATGGCAATGTTTCAGAAAGCCGAGTCTGCTACCGAGGCCTGCTCCCGAACAGAAGGTCCCGCCGAGCCAGCCGTTTGTTACCAAGACTGGAATTACGTCGGTGAAGGGTAAAGTATAGGAGGCCGTTGCTTGTTCTGCTACACGCTGGTTGTTGACTGCGAAACTGCGGAAGCGGGCTGACTGGTCGGGGAGGATCGCCTGCACCTGTAATACCTGTAAGGCTTGTCAGAAATAACTGAGCAGGAATGGTGTGACTAACAGGAACAACAGTACAAATATGAAACCCTAACCTGGTATACCCCCTAAGGTATCACCCACTACAGCCTAGAACAATATAAACATATAATGTTTGACACACCCCCATAGGCAAAGTGGGGAAGACCTAGGGGTCACAAGACCAGTCAAGGCAAAACAAGGCAACAACAAGCTCAGGGTGGACCTCAAGGGTTCCACACAAATTCCGAGCACAAACTAGCGGTCACAAGCCCAGTTCACATGCAAGTTTATAACAGATCATGATATACAATGATCACAACCTAGCAAGAGTAGACATGCAGGCATATATATATAATGATCACAGTATAAGCAAGGTCAAGAAGTGAGCAAGTGAGGTCCAGTAGGCACAAGGCCCAGAAGAGTACAAAAGCGCTGATGGTCAACAGGCGGAAGTGCCTTGGTGAACACATCAGCAAGGTTGGCCTCGGTGGCCACGTAACGCAGACGAAGCTGACCTCGCTGCTGCAGCTCTCGAGCAAGGAAGTACCGCAGAGCGATGTGCTTCGTTCTGTGCTCCAGTCTGTGCTCCTCACACAGGGCAATGGCTGCCTGGTTGTCGACGTACAGCACTGGAGGAGAACGAGGCCGCTCCTTAAGGTCGGTCAGCAGGTAGGTCAGCCAGCGTAGCTCCTGGGCAGCCATGGCTGTGGCGTAGATCTCAGCCTCGCAACTGGAGCTGAGAACAGAAGAAGAGCGTGTAGAGCGCCAAGAAACTGAGCCAGAGCCAAGGCTGAAGGAGTAACCCTGAGACGACCGCTGAGTGGCCTGGTCGTCTGCCCAAGAAGCGTCTGAGTGCCCTGTGAGAACAACTCGGTCTCGCCCTCCAAGCACAAGCCCCATGCCCGACGTACTGCACAAGTAGCGCAACACCCTCTTAGCGGCATCCATGTGCTCCTTCCTGTGACGGCCAGGAGCGACATAGCGTGCAAGGATGCTAAGAGGGTATGCAAGGTCAGGTCGAGTGCAGGTCATCAGGTACATGAGGCAGCCCACAAGCTCTGGGTACGGGCCACTCGACTCTACGGACTCATCCGAAGGCAGAGCTGAGAGCGAGTGACCGGTAGGCAGAGGAGTGGACTGAGGCGAGGAGTACGTGAAGCCGAAGCGCTGGAGAACCTGCTGCACCATGTGTGACTGAGTCAGGGTGATGGTGCGCCGTGCTCTGTCCCGGGTGATCCGCAAGCCAAGATAGCTTGTCAGCTCACCCAGGTCTGTGCACGTGTGTCTCCTCTGCAGCTCCGACTTCACGTAGGCAAGTCCTGCAGTGTCAGCAGTGGCAAAGACCAAGTCGTCGACGTACACGAGGATGTAAAACGGCGGCAGCGAAGTGTCGGTGCGCAGGAACAGCGACGGGTCAGCTGTAGAAGGCGCGAACCCAAGAGCCGCAAGTGTAGTCCTCAGTGTGTCGTGCCACTCACGCGGAGCCTGGCGGAGACCGTAGACCGGCCGCTGAAGCCTCCACTGGGTACCAGGAGGAAACGACCCAGTGAAGCCAGGTGGGCGGCGCAGCCAGATCTCCTCGTGCAGGCTGCCCTGCAAGAAAGCAGTGCTGAAGTCAAGTGAGTGAAGCTCGTAGTCGCGGTGAGCGGCTATGTGCAGCAGCACCCGAAGAGTGGTCATCTTCGGGGTGGGGGAGAAGGTCTGGAAGAAGTCAACTCCCTCTTGCTGACTGAAGCCTCGAGCCACGTAACGCGCCTTGAAGACAGGCGGAGAACCCGGCGGCCGCTTCACCCTGAAAATCCACATGCCACTGACGATGTTCGCCCCAGGAGGGGGAACCTCGTCGACGTAGGTGCGTGTGGACTTCCAGGAAGCCATCTCGGCGTCCATGGCCGTCTGCCACTGAGAGGAGTAGGGACCCGCCATCGCCTCAGCGTAAGTGCGTGGGGTCGGGATGTCTGGTGCATCCGGGTCTCCCTCAGGGGCAACTAGCATGGACACGAGATGGGGCAAAGCAGCAGCAAAGCAATGGAACTCCTCCTGTCTGTCCTCAAGGACGTCCGTGCCAAGAGCACACGCACCCCCGACGGACGGAGGACAGGCAGACTCAGACTCAGACTCAGCCACTAGGCTAGCAGCGTAGTCTAGGCGACAGCAAGCAGCAAAGTCAACTAACTCAGCGACCAGAGCAGACGCAGCGGCGGACTCAAAAGAAGGGTCAGTGACAACGGTAGCAAGGAGACGCGTAACAGTGGGACTGGCAGCACGACGGGCGTCAGACTCCGGGTCAGGAAGAGTAGGTAGGGAGGACGCAGGAGGAGACGGCAGCGGGACACGCTGCGGAGCAGTGGAGGGACGCAGAGTCATGTAGTGAGTGCCAGGGACAGGAGGAGGACGCTCACGTGGGACACGACGACCAGTGCGAGCGGTACGAACAGGCGACGCGGGACGAGACTCAGGCTCACGACGCTCCGTAAGACCTCCTGTGGGACCAGTGTAAGGAGAGGGACCAGGGAGAGGCGAGGCGGGCGGTAACTGTGACTGCGGCTGGACAGGTAGAGGACCCTCGACGGAGGGAGGAGGACCAGGAGGAGGAGCCTGACCAAGAACCTGCTGAAGGAGCGGGACGAAGTACGGTCGCGGCCGCGCAGCGTCTCCAGAAGCAGCAGGGACACGAGCTGCAGCCCCAGCGCCCAAGTCCTCAGCACCAGCAGTAGCTCCAACGCCCTGGTCCGCAGCACCAGCAGCAGCGTCACCGGTCGGGTCCTCAGCACCAGCAGCAGCGCCACCAGTCGGGTCCGCAGCACCAGTAGCAGCTCCAACGCCCGGGTCCTCAGCACCAGTAGCAGCTCCAACGCCCGAGTCCTCAGCAGCAGCAGCAGCGCCACCGCTCGGGTCCTCAGCTCCAGCAGCAGCTCCAACGTCCGAGTCCTCTGTACCAGCAGCAACTCCACCAGCCGGGTCCTCAGCACCAGCAGGAGCTCCAACGTCCGGGTCCTCAGCACCTGTAGCAGCTCCAACGCCCGGGTCCGCAGCGCCAGGAGGACCACTCCGAAGACTGCAGCGCCGTGTGTACCACTCTCGAATCACCTGAATGGGGGGGAGCTCCTGGGAAGGAGGGGAAGTACCGGGACGAGCTCCA